TAGATGGTGAAAAATCGCAAAAAATGAAAAAAATAATTAAACTCGTAACATCAAAACCAATTTTTTCTATTCGTAACATCGTAAAAAACCATTTTAAATTGAAACACACGGCAAGAAATTTTTCAAAATGTAATACCAAAACAAAATTTATTGAAGTGTAACACGCCGTGTTTCATTTCAATAAAATTTGCGTTGGTACTACAATTCAATGAAATCTTTAAGATTTGCTACACATTTCTATGTTCTCAAAAGAAGACTCACTTTCATTCTCAGACATTCATTTCAATAAAACTTCGGGAGAAGTTTCATATTCATTGTTAAGCACATGAGTCTTGTTTGGGTTTTTTTCTTCATGATATTAGCACAACAATGTACCACACCAAGCAACACACCAGGCAATTGCAGCAATTTATATAGATGTACGGTTCTTTACGATATTTACCAAAATCCAGATTCAACAACTGCTCAACAAATATATCTATCGGATAGTTATAATGATAATTGTGGACACGGCATGGTAAATTATCATTAAATAGTTGGGAATCATAGGTGTTGTCGCTACATTTAATGAAAATTTTTGAAAAGATTTTTTTGATTTGAGTCGGATAGAAATTACTGGGCTTGGTAAAATTTTAGTCAAAAAAACGCAAAAAAATTGAAAGAATCTCATCAAAATTGCTGGGAGTTCTGTCCTTTTAGAAGGGTAGTCTAGACCCCAACTGGATCAACACCTATGTTTGAAATACAAAACGATTATATTTTAACAAATTATTGCCATTAGGTTTGCTGTCCAATTGAAACACGACCCATATCTACACCAGCACCTGTTACAACAACAGCACCTGTTACAACAACCGTAATCGATACATTACTACCTCGCGATTGTGGAATGGAAATATTGGGTCCAAGAATATGGGATGGTAAAAATACTAGAAGACTTGATTTCCCCTGGCTGGTTTTAATCGAACACACACATTGTAATAGAATTTACGTGAATTGAGCTCATTTGACTTTTTCCTTCGATTTTCTTATAATTGTTTTTATTGCAGTTGACGGTGAAAAATTCTTAGATTGTGGTGGTTCCCTCATCAATAATTTATATGTTGTAACAGGTAATTGATGAAATCACATCTGGCTTTGAATGAAACTCAATATCTTTTTCCAATTTTAAGCTGCACACTGCTTGGGTACGCAAAGCCATAAATTGACAGGTAATATAATTGGACATATAATTATGTTATGTATTCTAGCTGAAGTAATTTTTTTCTCTATTTTTCTATTGGTCATCCAAAGCCGTTCGACTTGGAGAATGGAATACCGCGACAGATCCAGATTGTGACGATGACGGACAATGCTCCGCCCCAGTTCAATACATTCGTGTTGCAGAACAAATTCGACATGAGAACTATAATCGATATTCGAATAATCTCGAAAATGATATTGGTTTGCTACGATTAGAAAGACCGATTACGTTTTCAAACTGGATCAAACCTATTTGTCTCCCTATTTCGGATGAGACGATCAACGGAAATGTAGATGGTGAACCATACGTGGTCTCTGGATGGGGAATAACACAGGTTCTACTACTATAATTTCATAAGATATTTTTTGAATCTAATTCCGACGTTTTTCTTCTCTTTTCTTATGTTTGATATCAGGCAGGTATGCATCGATATTTTCAAAATAATCTCAATTATAATAAAGACCTTTTCCTAATCATTGGCTATTTTCATAGGGGCTTTGAGTATTATCAAACAAAAGGCTGAAATAGGTGGTGTTTCGATTAATAAATGTAACAGATCGTATCAAAAACTAGGCATTATCTTGACAACCAACCATCTATGTGCTGGTGGTGAAGGAATTGATGCGTGTAATGGTACAACTCAATTGTATTTCAAAGTACTTGATGAAATATTTGTTAACTGTCAATTTTGTTAACTGTTTTTGTTGAAAATAGGGGATTCGGGCGGACCTCTGATGGCAATGCATCGTAACAATAGTACCACTTACTATTTCTTAGCAGGAATTATCTCATTTGGCACAAAAACCTGTGGATTACAAGGATGGCCAGGGGTATATACCGTAAGTTCGAAAAAATAATTCATTATCAAAAATTTCGTTTAATTAAATTTTTTAATTCAAACAGCGTGTCGATAAATATGTTGATTGGATAAGAACCAAAATACGACCATGAAAATTAACACAGAGACATTAACACGAGAATCAAAGAACCACTGTTTTTGCTTTTTTGTCATTTTTCTTCAATAAAACACTATTTTGCATTAATTATTGTGATTCATTGTGTATTTCAATTCGTCTTCTGTGTCATTTAGCCTAAAAGTGTGTCATTTTCAGTGATGATTTTTTGCTGTCTGAGTAGTAGTCCTAGATATTTGTAGCGCCTGTACAGCATTGCTATATCCAGCGCTATTCAGACAGCAAAAAATCATCACTGAAAATGACACACTTTTAGGCTAAATGACACAGAAGACGAATTGAAATACACAATGAATCACAATAATTAATGCAAAATAGTGTTTTATTGAAGAAAAATGACAAAAAAGCAAAAACAATGGTTCTTTGATTCTCGTGTTAATGTCTCTGTGTTAATTTTCATGGTCGTATTTTGGTTCTTATCCAATCAACATATTTATCGACACGCTGTTTGAATTAAAACATTTAATTAAACGAAATTTTTGATAATGAATTATTTTTTCGAACTTACGGTATATACCCCTGGCCATCCTTGTAATCCACAGGTTTTTGTGCCAAATGAGATAATTCCTGCTAAGAAATAGTAAGTGGTACTATTGTTACGATGCATTGCCATCAGAGGTCCGCCCGAATCCCCTATTTTCAACAAAAACAGTTAACAAAATTGACAGTTAACAAATATTTCATCAAGTACTTTGAAATACAATTGAGTTGTACCATTACACGCATCAATTCCTTCACCACCAGCACATAGATGGTTGGTTGTCAAGATAATGCCTAGTTTTTGATACGATCTGTTACATTTATTAATCGAAACACCACCTATTTCAGCCTTTTGTTTGATAATACTCAAAGCCCCTATGAAAATAGCCAATGATTAGGAAAAGGTCTTTATTATAATTGAGATTATTTTGAAAATATCGATGCATACCTGCCTGATATCAAACATAAGAAAAGAGAAGAAAAACGTCGGAATTAGATTCAAAAAATATCTTATGAAATTATAGTAGTAGAACCTGTGTTATTCCCCATCCAGAGACCACGTATGGTTCACGATCTACATTTCCGTTGATCGTCTCATCCGAAATAGGGAGACAAATAGGTTTGATCCAGTTTGAAAACGTAATCGGTCTTTCTAATCGTAGCAAACCAATATCATTTTCGAGATTATTCGAATATCGATTATAGTTCTCATGTCGAATTTGTTCTACAACACGAATGTATTGAACTGGGGCGGAGCATTGTCCGTCATCGTCACAATCTGGATCTGTCGCGGTATTCCATTCTCCAAGTCGAACGGCTTTGGATGACCAATAGAAAAATAGAGAAAAAAATTACTTCAGCTAGAATACATAACATAATTATATGTCCAATTATATTACCTGTCAATTTATGGCTTTGCGTACCCAAGCAGTGTGCAGCTTAAAATTGGAAAAAGATATTGAGTTTTATTCAAAGCCAGATGTGATTTCATCAATTACCTGTTACAACATATAAATTATTGATGAGGGAACCACCACAATCTAAGAATTTTTCACCGTCAACTGCAATAAAAACAATTATAAGAAAATCGAAGGAAAAAGTCAAATGAGCTCAATTCACGTAAATTCTATTACAATGTGTGTGTTCGATTAAAACCAGCCAGGGGAAATCAAGTCTTCTAGTATTTTTACCATCCCATATTCTTGGACCCAATATTTCCGTTCCACAATCGCGAGGTAGTAATGTATCGATTACGGTTGTTGTAACAGGTGCTGTTGTTGTAACAGGTGCTGGTGTAGATATGGGTCGTGTTTCAATTGGACAGCAAACCTAATGGCAATAATCTGTTAAAATATAATCGTTTTGTATTTCAAACATAGGTGTTGATCCAGTTGGGGTCTAGACTACCCTTCTAAAAGGACAGAACTCCCAGCAATTTTGATGAGATTCTTTCAATTTTTTTGCGTTTTTTTGACTAAAATTTTACCAAGCCCAGTAATTTCTATCCGACTCAAATCAAAAAAATCTTTTCAAAATTTTTCATTAAATGTAGCGACAACACCTATGATTCCCAACTATTTAATGATAATTTACCATGCCGTGTCCACAATTATCATTATAACTATCCGATAGATATATTTGTTGAGCAGTTGTTGAATCTGGATTTTGGTAAATATCGTAAAGAACCGTACATCTATATAAATTGCTGCAATTGCCTGGTGTGTTGCTTGGTGTGGTACATTGTTGTGCTAATATCATGAAGAAAAAAACCCAAACAAGACTCATGTGCTTAACAATGAATATGAAACTTCTCCCGAAGTTTTATTGAAATGAATGTCTGAGAATGAAAGTGAGTCTTCTTCTGAGAACATAGAAATGTGTAACAAATCTTAAAGATTTCATTGAATTGTAGTACCAACGCAAATTTTATTGAAATGAAACACGGCGTGTTACACTTCAATAAATTTTGTTTTGGTATTACATTTTGAAAAATTTCTTGCCGTGTGTTTCAATTTGAAATGCTTTTTTACGATGTTACGAATAGAAAAAATTGGTTTTGATGTTACGAGTTTAATTATTTTTTTCATTTTTTGCGATTTTTCACCATCTACATGGGAGGATTGTATGAAAAACACGGAAGACCGCTGAAATGACAAACGCCAAATATATACGGACCTACGGCAGTGCCATTTC